CGAGACAGGCAGTTAGCATCCAAGTGTTTTGTTCTGAAATTGTAAACCACAGTAATGTCAAATTCTCACAGTCTTAAGCTTCATGGTGAGAGACAACCTGAAGAGTCCTTTAAGCTGGCTACGCAACACAGGGCATGGTGGTCACTCACAACATTGAAGGTCTCGCCATAGAGGTAGGAATAAAATTGTGATGTAGCCAAGAGCATGGCAAGGCACTCCTTTTCTGTTGTGGAGTAGTTGGCCTCTGCCTTGGATAGCAATCAGCCAGCATAGCAGAAAACCCTTTCCAGCCTGTCAGTCCTTTTGTACAAGAACGGCTGCGAATCCTAAACTATTTGCATTGATGTGTACTTTTGTGTTGGCATGTCCGTCAAAATACACAAGTATCAATGCTGTCTGTAGGCATCGTTTATGTTCTTGAAACGCTTCATCTTGCACAGTTTCCCACTTGAATTCCACGTCGGCTTTCATGAGGAGAGTTAGTGGCTCGACAGTCTGTGGAAATCCCTCAACGAAGCACTTGTAGTGGGCACACAATCCGAGAAATCGGAGCATTGCCTTCTTGTCAGTGGGCGGCAAGAAGTCAGTGTTGTCAGCTGTTTTCTGCGTGTTGGGACGCACTCCTGACTTGCTAATCACGTGTCCCAGGAACAAGAGCTCCTCGTACGTGAAGTGGCACTTTTCTGTCTTCAGGGCGAGCTCAAAGGTCTTGATAGCTTGAAGTACAGCTTCAAGGCATTGGAGAGGCTCATCAAAGCTTGAGGAAAACACAACCACATCAACCAAGAACACAAAGCCAGTCTGCCACTTCAATCCAGCCAGCATGGAGTACATGCTGGAGCTTCGCCGGCACTGAGCAAAAACCAAAAAGCATCACCTTGAACTAGAAGAGGCCGTCTGGTGTTGTGAAGGCAGTATCGTCTCGCGAGAAACGAAAAAAAAAAATCGATTTTTCGAAAATCAAGTTTTGAGTTTCTGGAACCCTTTTTCCTCTGATTCAAAAATATCTACACTGAAAACCACGCAGCAGTGAACCAGAAAATTCGTTTCACTCTCCTAGGTAGCGAAACTTTTTTTCTGTAAATCGCGAGAAAACAGCGATTTTCAAAAGATTATAGCTTCACGATGGCAAGGCTGGGAACCGGCTTCTTGAGCTCATGGGAAAGAGCATTTCTCCGTGTTTAAATTTCCTGCCTCAGCTGGCTCCTCCCTCTAAAAACAAGCACACAAAAGCGAATATATGAAGGTCATTTCGAGGCCCCTTATTGGCTGTGGCCGCCATGTTGCGTCAACTCGCCTCGGCATTCGCCCGATGCTCGGACTGCTTCCTGGAAACCTTAAGCGTCGATGATTTTGCAGAACGACAGCGTGCCAACCCTGAAATCAAGGGTGTTATGGAATACCTAGAGGGCAAGGCAGCCATTGTTCCAAAGGTATTCAAGCGAGGACTGGCAGACTGGCATCGTTTTACTTGCGTAACGGCATCCTCGTCAAGAAAAACTTTTCACCACATCTGGCCACTTACCTGCTCGTAGTACCTTCAACGTTACGTCCAGAAATGTTGGATGCTCTACACGACGACCCTTCGGCTAGACATCTCCGTGTTTCCTGTACACTCCCGAGAATACAGGAGAAGTATTACTGGCCACAACTTGCCACCGACGTCACTCATTAATTACACCAAGACATGTCAAGACTGTCAACGACGAAAGACACCGCCGACTAAGCCAGCCAGACTTCTCCAGCCTATCGAGCCACCTAGCCAGCCGTTTCAGCAAATCGGCATGGACTTACTGGGGCCGTTCCCAATGTCGAACTCCGGAAACAAATGGATCGTCGTAGCTGATGACTACTTCACCCGCTACGCTGAAACAAGGGCTCTACCCAAAGGAAATGCCACCAAGGTAGCAAAGTTCTTCTTCAAAAACATCGCCTTGTGTCATGGAGCTCCAGAAGTCCTCATCACAGACAGTGGTACGACCTTTACGGCGGGCCTAACTCCGGCAATCCTAAGGTACAGCCAGACAAGTCACTGCTGGACCACCAATTACCATCCACCGACCAATGGTCTCACTGAGTGTCTCAATAAGACCATTGCCGATATGTTACCCATGTACGTCGATGTCGAGCACATGATGTGGGATGCAATCCTTCTGTACGTGACCTTCGCATACAACACGGCTGTCCAAGAAACAACGCAGATGACGCCATACAAGCTGGTGTACGCAAGGATCACAGCCACGATGTTCGATGCCATGTTACCCAACGTCAGCGATGAAAAAAACATTGACGTCACTCTCTACCTGCAGCGCGCCGAAGCTCGACAACTTGCCCGCCTGTGCATCAAAAATCAGCAGGCGGCCGACAGCTGCCGTTGCAATCTTCGATGAAGCTTCGTAGAGTACCAGCCCGGTGACAGTGTCTGCGTATAGACACCAATACGCCGACGAAGTGAAAAATTTCTACGACGGTACTTCGGACCGTACACAGTAGTTCGAGGTCTCAGCCCACTCGACTATGAGGTTGTTCTTGACGGCATTACGAACTCTTAACGGCGCCGTGCTCGACTTGAAGTCGTCCATGTCGTACACCTCAAGCCATTTCATGCGTGAACCTGAGGACTCTATTTTGTTGTTGTTGATGCACTTTATTGCTTGTACTTATTGTTCATTGTCTTTATTACTGCACCTTTGTCTTTTGTTAAAGCACTGGGATGATGCTTTTTTCAGAGGGGAGCAATGCCACGTTCCTTTCCTCAAGTTTTGTTATCACTCCGTTACACTATGTTCAGCGCAAACCGCACCTACAATGTTCGAAAAGCTTCGAGGCTGTAGTAGATCATGTTGTTAAGGTAACGCCCACTTTGCGAACGTTTCAGATTATTCTGGAACATATGTCGCTGCTAGCAATAACGCTAGAACATTCGATGGCAAGTGTACAAATGCTGACGCGCTTCGACGCTTGTCAGTTGATCATCGGACAACGCTCCGTTCGCCGCTATCAGTGCAAGACTTTCCGTCTACTGGGCACAGGTTCGCCCAAATAAACAGTTTATTATTTGACCCGCAGTCTGCTTCATTCGTCCACGTCACGACTCCGTGACAATATACTCACATCAAGCTGAACAGTAAAAAAACACAGTCAAGCGCATTGTGCAGGTGTGAATGCACCATACATGTGGAATGCGTGCAGCCAACAATAGGCCAGAGCCAACAAAGAGAAAGGCTACTCAATTGCCTAAATTACCTCCCCTTTCCCCACCCTGTGCCTGACTGGGCGTGTCCAGCAAGTGTGGCGCTAGCTAACACTCACAAGTAGCCCCACGAAGTGGACAGCAGGATGACCGCTGCCATGGCTCAATTGGCAGAGCATCGGACGCATTATCTGAAGGTTGTAGGTTCGGCCTCTGCCTGCAGGAAGTTGTCTTTTCATTTACTTTTTTTTTTTTTCACATTTAGACTACTACATGAAAATTGAAAGACTACAAGTTATGTCCCCTGAACCTCCCTCGGTCTCATTGTCTGCTGGTTTCATTACCATGATCACGTAAAATAAAAGAATACTAACAGATATACTGTTGTTTAGGAAATCAAGATAGCGATGAAAAAAAAATGGCAGAAAAGGAAGATGGAAGAGGTGAAACATTTCAACAAGCTGTTAGGCAGCTGCCTCGAAGACCATTCACTGAGGTGTTGGCTGCACCCTGTGCTCAAGGACATGACACTCTGGCTGTACAGTGCATTTTTCAATAGCTTGCCTTCTTACTTCACTCTGTCATACTTTTACTGGTCATTAAGCTCCACCCTAACTCCATGGGAAAACTGTGCGCTGCAAACAGAGGCACTGAGATGACCAAATGTGTGAAGTTGTCATGCCAAATAGACGGATCTTTATGCAGCTCCTCAAAGCTTTGAAAATTGAAAGCACACATCCGTTGCTGAGAACAGAGACTTCAGCGCAACCAATTGAAACTTGGTGGAGTGAGAGTGCCAGAGAGAATGAACCAAAAAACTGTACAAAACTTGCGCAAGCTATCAACACGTGAAAAGTTAATTTTAAATCAACGCATCATGACATCGAAAAGATAATTTTTGTGTCATGCGATGATGCAAGTGTGGGATGCAATCGGTGGATTTTCATATTTGATGAAGCATGTAAGGCTTTCGCCCTAATAGGAAAAACAACAAAGAACGACAACAAAAACACAACACGAGTAAACTATACAGCAGAGTAAAAAAAGACAGGAAAACTACCTTGCATGAACAACTGAACGTTAAACATGCTACAGCGCTGTCGTGAAATACCAACGCAGAACAAAACATGAAAACCTGGGAAAAGTTGTATGAAGTATGCCTTTATCCTCGTCAATTTATAAATAAAAGCACTGATTAATTTAAACTGGCCGTTGATTCGATAAATACAAGGCTATTTTAAAATATCAGTGTATACAAACACCAAATGTGTATACAGCCTGAAAGGTGCGCTGTCAAGAGATTCCACCGCTACCGTTCCAGAATGCGCTAAGAATCGTTTTCCACAAATTTTCACTAGATGCTTCAGGAAAGAAGAAGCATGCTTTTATAGCAGCAAAATATCTTACAGTGGAAGCAGCATGCATTTGCAGCCATCAAATTTCTAGCTTCAAGGCCTCATTTGATTCTCAATTTCACTGTATTAGAGCATACCCAAATTTTCTTGAAGGTAACATTACTCTAAAGATGTATTAAACCTTCACTAGCCAATTTATTCACGTTTTGCAGTTCCAGTGTGTGCCGTACAACTAGAGCCCGGGCAAGGGTGCCCTAGCGGTTGCTCCTGTTCCTATATGTATGAAACTCTCATCTAAGCTTCATGACCAATAAAAGTATTTAGGAACTCTGCTTGTACCAATGCCCTCCAATAACTGTTATCACCCAGTTAACAATATTATGACTAGATTACTTACAAACAAACTTAACAAAAAGAATGAAATAAAAATGCATAATAGGTGAAGAAAATACCTGCTCCTCAGCAACCGCGTCTTTTTCATCCAGCTTTCTGTCTTCTGCTTTGCCATCAGGCCCTGGACCACAGCGCGGATGCCAGATGGCGCCTCCTGCATGAGGTTCATGTTTTGCACCATAGAGCTGCTTCACTCGAGTTCCATCAATGTTCCATCATCGAGTTCCAGCATAAAGAGACAAGCATTGCCAGGTCTCACACTACTATGGTAGCATGCAGAGTTGGAACAAAAGCTTCCAAGGTTTCCTTCTGAGCATTTTACAGTGAAAGCTGTAATGAGATCACAACTCGGAGTTGTGTCCATAACCACATCACGCAAAATTAGAAGAAAAAAAAAACCTAGTACCAATGACACAGTGGGGCTGGAACCTGGGTTGCTGGATGCCAGCCCAGTATTCTACCACTGAGCCACATCGATGCTTGGGACTTGTTGGCAAACTTACCTTAGGCAGGCCCGATATTGCAAAAGCAACCGTGTCACGACTTATACCTGTGCCACACGGGCACAGAAAATGACATTCGGTACTGAAGGCGTTCTTGAATGACATTTTTTGGGGTAGAGTTGCTACACTTCCAAAATGAATGACATTTGACTCAGATGACGTCGATCACACCATCTTCTGTAGTAAGCAATTGTGCAGTTTTAATAGAAAAATAAATGTGCGTTTACAAGCTACATATACCTCCCAGAAGAATAAAATATAGGAATAAGCATATTGCACTGCCATTAGAGTTTGTTCGTAACTTTGTTTCACGACGTTGCAACCGACCGTGTAGCAACTTAAGCCAATAGTCAGATCCGCAGCGTAAAAAGAACATGGCGCCTGTCGCATTTATTTTACAGCGTCTATAAGCTGAAGAAACGTTTTTAACCAATGTTTAAGTGATAAGTGTAAATAGAATTCCTTCCAGTCGAATCAAATGTCATTTTATATAATTACTTTATCAGCTGTGCCGTCGAGAATACGGATTTCTCAGCGGAATGAGTTCTGCCGATGGCATTACGTGACGAATGGCGTTTGGGTTAATGCCATTTTGTTCGTCTGTGAGGCACCATGCGAATGACATTCAATCTGAAGGCATTAGGAGATCTATGCCGGTTTTTTTGCCCGTGTGGCATGGGTATTATAAAGCGTTTAAAAAGACTGAAATAACAACCTGTCCTCGCACAATGCGATTAGCGTAACGAGTGGGTCGTCCAATGCTCCAACCTATTACAAAATCTTGTTCTTGTTTCCCTATTAACTCTGGGGCATACCCACTTCAGCCATAATTCCTCATTGCCGTCAGCCATTGCATGAACTATTGGCACAAAATTCCTCGCAAGTGTTTAGCGGATACCACGCTTCTCCAAAGAATGACGATAAATGGCATAGCGAATGTCGGTCTACTACCCAAAAAATTTTATTATTGATACCTTAGTGCGTATCAAGCAAGTGTGCTTGCAATAGTTATCTAATGAGTGTTTTGAAAGGCTCTGAAAGGCAGCTTTTCTAGTTTTTGCTGTGATTGTGCTGCACCTTCCGCGTAGACCTGGCATTTTTTTTTTTTTCACCTGCAGGGTGTCTACTAATTTGATTTGCCCAAAATTTCGACTGTCGAAGATTTTTCATCATGCAGCGGGACGGACAATTGGGCTAGTTGGTATTTGTAAAAAAATATCACGCACACAAAAACATGGACAGTGGAAAACAAAGACAAAGCACACAGACACTCACAATTTTCAGCAAACTTTCCTGCTCAGAAAATTGAAAATGAGTCCTGAAGTAGATGAATAGATGGAAGAAACTATTTCATATGTGGTGTGTTAGTGGACTGCGCCTAGGTGTTGGCTAGAAGGTCTTGTCTCCTGGTCGCTCGCTCAGCCCACTGGTTTGCCAGGGTTGAACTAAGCAGTGCAGCCCAATGTGCGTGGAGACTGCCGATGGAGGCTGCGTTTTCATTACTGTGTTTCAATCCCTGGCATTCCCATAGGACATGTTCTAACAAAGCTCGGGCCTCAAAATCTTTGCATTGATTGGTCGTGTAGATTGGTCGTGTGGCTCTCAGATGACCTAGTTTCTAATTGTCAACATTAGACAGACTGTGACCAATTGAGTTTAAAGGTGGGGTGGTGGGTAAGCGCGCCTCTGCAGTTTATCAATGAGTCTCGTGAGTATTGTCAGATCGGTGCTGTATTGTTTATTGCGATTAACTACTGCCACGTAGAAGCAGCTTTTGTGTTTGTAATGAACGGCATCTACGAAGACCGCTTCATTGCTGTTTCCTAAGCTTTTTATCATGGCCTTTGCTCTGCTTAGCCTTCTTTCTGCATTGAGCACGGGGTGCATGTTTTTAGATAATGAAGGGACTATTAGCTTCGCCCGTATGTCACGAGGAGTATCGCATTCGGTGCCATAATGTGTGTGATAAGTGATGCCTAATTTTTTTGTCTAGATATGTCTACCGGTGTTCATTTTAGAGAGGCAGTTGTACTGTACAATACGTTGTACCTCTATCAGTTCCTCAAGTCTAAAACTCGCGCTATTAGCCCCAAGAACGAACACTGGCATCGCTGGAGTCACAACCAAATGACATCATGGCAAGGACTCGCCCGCTCCGCCTATGACGCATGCCGACGGTCGCTTATTTCCGAGCCCACTGTGGATCCGCTCTTCCAAGTACGGTGGTGATTCCTCCGCAATTTTGCAAGTAGACCGCGCAACGGACAAAGTCAACATATTTATTTCTATCAAACGTTAACTAAGGTGCACAAAGTATTGATAATATAGCTTAGGATGGGGAACTCTCGTCCGAACAGATAATCCACTTTGAAAATGGGGGTGCATGGCAGCGAGACGTTAGTTCTCAAAATCCGCAAAATCAGTGCTAAAAAAATATTCGTGCTGAATGGGTCTAACCTATTACAACTAGGCATAGACTATGTGATTAAACATGCGTGTCAAAGTATTACGAATGAAATCAGGACATTTTGTATTTGCTAAAAATTTTGTGACTTAACTTTTACTAAAAACTTTGTGACTTACCATGCAAGTTATGTCTGCCTCAGCAAATAATGTAGGTCATTTGACAAAATTCCACTTTTGATGCAGGAGACTTCAGATGAATCTGTCTGTCATACGCAATCAGTTATAATATTGACAAAATTGAAGTACTGTTGCAAAAGAAACAATGGATTCTGAAATTCTTAGACGTCGGTATACTTGGATCTCACGTGCAGATTTCTTCTCAACAGTCATTCGGGATTATGTATTTGCATACCCTGATTTACACGAACAGGTGACTTGATCTACCGCCACGTCATTAGCTGTAATACTCAGTTTACGTGAAAGCACTGATGGTAGCAATTGTTTGCTAAACAAGCGCCAGTAAGACAAAATAAACTGTTTTGATGGCCCAATCAGCTTCGTGGGCCCCGTGATAATGAAACCTCCTTTGCCTCAATGAAGCAATGATTAGTTTCGAACGTTATGACCATATACAGGTTGATGCTGCTTAGAGGTAATCAAGTGTGGGGAAAATTTATTTATCAGGTGGCTATCTAACCTGGCACTCACAAGCGTCATGGCACAGTTGCTATTCGATACTGCATGAAGATGCTATCTCACAGCAGTAGCCGTTTCTGCAATTAACCTCAACTTGTTTTTGTAGTGAAATTGAGCACCGAAATTATTGAGGAAAAATTGTGAACCTATAAAGTGATGAATGTGAAACTAGACATAGGAAACTGTAATGCAACAGCTTCAGTGGAATTCGCGGGCGAGTGCATTCGAGATATTTAATGACACTCGATACTAAGCACATGCGTGAAGCTCGGAACACAGGCAGCAGTTACTCTCATACGTCTGATAGAAAAACCGCTAGTGGAAGCGAAACAATCACATATTTTTTTAAAGTATCGCCTGTTAACAATGTAACCTCAATTGCAAATACGCTGTCGTATACACTTCAAAAGCAGGACATGATTGTGAGGCACGCTATAGAGTAATTGTAGCCACCTCGCATTTTTAAACATGCTGTTGTATCTTAGCACATGCATGGCTGATGTTCACCACGGTCGGAACGCCGCTACCGTGGCCATAAATCGAACCCATTCTCGAGGTAAGCAGCGCATAACCTAACAAACCTGATCAAAGCGTGAATGCTAGAGCTAGCACCGTTGGCGATTGAACTGAAAAAAAAAAAGTTAAGTTTTTCATTGTTTAATCAGGAACATTATCGATGCTGCCTTGGTCATTCATTTTAAGCGTGAAACAAACAAAAAATAAGCGCTGGCACTGCAACGGCATACAAAGCGAGTGCGTGTTATGTATATGCGCACTACAGCAAGTCGAAGAGTCCGTGCCGTGACGTAATGCAAGCCTCCCAACAGGCGGCGCCACTCCAACCTCTCGGGGCTAATAGGAGCCTATCAGTAGTAGTGCTTTGCGCAAGTCCTAGCACTTGCTTAAAGATTTTTCTGATCAAACTGTGTAGTATGATTTTGTTTTTCTGCTGCAAACTATGGTATGCGGATGTTGTCACTGGTCCCATTCATTAGGGAGGCAATCGCCGAGCTGATTCCATCGGCGGACGTACTAGCCCCCCGAAACGCACCACAAAAGCACGAACAATTGAGAATTGGTCCTTTTGATGAGCCAGCGTACGCTGGATGTGGACCAAAAAACGAGGCAGAGCCGAGAGTTTATAACAAAAAAATATATTCTCAGATAAGACAGAACAAACAACACGCAAACCAAGCACACTCTCCAATTATCAAATACAATACGACACCAATCACTTGATACTCGAATACACTCAAAAAAATGGACACAAACAACAAAATGCACTAAAATGCAATCTCATGCATAAACTATCCATGTACACATATTGACAACAATGTTCCTCAAACGTATCCAGGTCAAAGTTCTTGAAACAAAGCTTGAATGCTTCTCTTCAAGGAAGCACTCCCTCAAATCCCAGCGCCGGATGTCATCCTACTGCGTTTGAGGTTTCTTTTCCAAGAAACTCTAGCATCGTCAACTGACCGCACTTCAATAACAAAACTGACAAAGTGAAAAACACACTTCATCTCTTGCTTGTAAAACAAGTCTT